TGGCCTGCTTGCTGCTTCACTCGGCACAGCAGTATTTCTTTCTCTATGGATGAAGAAGGAGGCCGAGGAGCAGCAGAAATCCTTTAAGCAGCTGCAGGAGCTTCTGCCGGATATAGAGAGGTTATCTGACTTGATAGGTAGTGAGAGAGCAATGCAGCTAGCAGCAGCATACAGAGACCGTGTTGCTGCAGTGGATGCATTGCTGCAGCAGTTTGCTGCAGCACGAAATCCTTTTTATATTCGTGGTGTTATACGTCAGCTGCATGCAGTAGTAAGCAGCGCAGAGGAGACAGCAGCAGAGCTGCAGCAAGAAGCTATACGTGTTTCTTCTTCTATAGAGGAGGTTTCACTAACAGATACAGATGCTTGGCTTGCACTGCAGCCTGCGTTTGTTTCTCTTGGTGCTCGTGAGCTTAAAGAAGGAGTGCATGCAGTATTAAAACTAGCAGAGGAGCTGCATGCATCGAGTGTATATAATATAAACAAGCGGCGTCTATCTATACGTGCTGTTCCTGCTTTTGTTTCTATAGAAGAAAAAAATATAATAAAACAACTTATAGACGAAATACTGCATCTACAAGCAGAGTATGATGAAGCTGAGCAATGCGTTGATTTGTTTGAGTCGGCTTTGGGGCTTGCAGAAGCAGCAATAAGAGAGAAATCTATAAACACAGTTGCGGTGTATATACAGCAGCTGCGGGGAGAGATAGATATATTAAGTAGTTTTGGTGTTATTATAAAAGAAGCAATGAACTCATGTACACCTAAAACAAGAATAATATTAAATAAAATAAATGAAAATAGAAAACNAAAGAAGCAATGAATTCATGTACACCTAAAACAAGAATAATATTAAATAAAATAAATGAAAATAGAAAACAAATAAATAAAAAACTAGATGAGGTTGTGTTGATGCATGCAGGCATGCAATATATAGAGGAAGCAGCAGAAGTATTGGTGATAGAGACACGTGCTGCTGCTGCTGCAGCAGCAATAAGAAAAGATATACAAACACTAACAAGACAAATAAAAACATATGGAGATATACTGGGTGCATGCGTTGAGGGTCAGCAGCAAGGAATCCATCTGCTGCAGCAGAGAGCAGCAGAATATATAAAAGAAATGAATAAAGTACATACAGAGATAGAAAAAGAAACAAAAAAAATACAAACAGACTTCACACATATGCTCGCTTCTTTACCTTCTTCTATAGAAGATATATATGGAGAAAGAATAGCTGTATATACACTCGAAGAGATAAATGAACTTATACATATAACTGAGGGGCTGCTGCATGCAACAAAAAAAGAAATAGATAATCTAACAAAAATAAAAACACATAAAGCAGCTTTGGGGCTTTATAGACATATTATGCATGCAGCAACTAAAATAAATCAATCTATGCTTGCTTTGTCTTTATTGAAACATAAATTTTATTTATATAAAACTATAGAAACAGAGATGCTTCTTGCTGCTGATGTTGTTTTTGTTGCTGCTCGTTCTTCTTTTCCTTCACATACACAAACACAAGTGCAGCAGCAGCTAGATACATTTGCTGCTGCAGCACAAGCAGCACAAGCAGCAACAAGAATCAATGATTTTGTTGCTGCTGCTGCTGATATGCATGCAGCTGCATATACACTCGGACACTGTCTCCTTTCTACGCGTTATCTTAAAGCAGATGAAGAAATACTGCAGCAGCAGCAGCAGCAGCAGCAGCAGCAAGATGGAGATGCTGCTGCTGCTGCTGCTGCGGAGGAAGAGGAGGAGGGGAAGGGTATGGATGCTTCTGCTGCTGCTGCTGCTGCTGGTGCTGCGGCTCGTGATGATGATGCTGCTGGCGGTGCTGCTGCTGCTGCTCTTTCTCCTGCTGCTGCAGCAGGAATTGTTGGAGATGCAGGAAGCACATTGTGGCAGCAACAGCAGCTGCAGCAGCAGCAGCTATTCCCACAGCAGCAGCAGCAGCAGCAGCAGCACTGGCAGCAGCAGCAGCAGCAGCAGCAGGAAGAAGATGATGATGAATCAGAAGAAGAGGATGAGCTGCAATATGACGAGGACGATGACGAGCTGCTGCAGCGAGAGGAAGCAGACGAAGACGAATAACCCTAATCACTGCAGCAGCAGCAGCAGCAGCAGCAGCAGCTGCAGCAGCAGCAGCAGCAGCT